CACTTAGGATTCCGTCCTTATGCTTATCCGGCCAAGTACAGATGCAAAGTCCAGTTTACTAACACTTGAACAAGAGGGGCTGATAAAGGGTCCAGCAATACCGACCTCCTGCCATCGTGGCAATAAGGTAAGAGTGTCTGTAAGGACTGGTCGACAGGTAACTTTCGATACCCGAAAGTCACATGCGCGACACTCTCCCCCCCTAGGGAAGATCGACGTCCTCGTCGATGCATACTCGAGTCTAGAATACCGTCAAGAAAACAACTCCAGAAAAAGTTCACGGTACTCACACTATGTGAGAAATGCACCAACTTAAATGAGTTAGGAGGCAACCTCTTTGTCTAACGCGGATGTGCTACCAGCTCAGACACCTTCCAACCGTCGCTGACAAGGAAATGACCAACGGAGTCAGCCACCCTTGCTGCTCTGGGAGTCACCCAGCTCACAAAAGTGTGATATGCCCTGCCCGCAGAGACATAGAGAGAGGAACTAGAGGCCCCAACCCTCATGAGCAAAGAAACCAAACCCGTTGGTAAGGTTTAGATAGACTACTGTAAACAGGCAGTTAGAGTTGTTTACACAGTCACGCCCTTTCAACGAAATAAGGAACATCGACAGAGAGGCGGGTGATGTGACCAGTCGACAGTAGCTACCCCATGACTAGAGATTTCACCATGCACACAAAGTGCCGAAGCCAGTCTGCCCATTACTGGCCCAAACTCAAAGAACAATAGATGGACAATATCAAAGTTATAGACAATGATATCTTAGAGTCGGAATTATCAGTGAATAAATCTTATATTAGAACACACAAGTATTCCAAGTATGTTATCATCTAATAAACTAGTATTATAGGATAGGAACCACCAAGATCACTATCATTGGAAAACATAGGATTAACCATCCAACAAAATTCAATAGCAAGTATATCATCAAGTAAACTCAATGATAAAACTTAACTACCGAAGATGGTAGACAGGATGCCAAACAACTTACTAAAGATAACTCAAAGAACACAAAGTATCATTGACTAACAAGCACAATACTCGCGAATGTATCACCCGAAGGAAATAACATCCTAATCTATAAGAACTAACTCGGGCAATAATCAACAGAACAAAATGAATGTTGCAAAGTAAGCAAATATAGTGTTCATGCCAATCATTGCACTAGCCAATCCAGATAGATCCCAGCCAATAACACCAAGGAACTCAAGTTGCCTAAGCAAGTGTCAGCAACATCCTACTGATGTCTCAATCCCAAGAGACCAAACCAGAGCAAACCACAAATAATATATGGTATTGCGAAAAGCCATAAGCTATCAAAGATAAGAACTAACCATAATGAAAGATCATCAAAATTATCCCATCAATAAAGAGATGCATAATCACCATCTAAGAAGGAATCCACCATCCTGAATAACGGCAAACCATTCTATACCAACAATAATTAAGCAAAACCTTTTTGACAAGGATAATCAACTATCCCAGATAATAGTCAATCATCACCAATGATTGCTAGATGCAAAAGCCAACTTCAACATCGAAGCTAATAAGTCAAAATGTCTTCCCCAACAACTTCTAACAAATGGAACAACGAGCATAAAACTCAAAGAACCAAAAGTTCGAAGAAGTCTATAGCCAAGTCTTTCCTAACAATGATCACAAGTCTCACATGAACTAACTTTAATGCTAAAGAAGAAATTATGGTGCAACCCACAACATTTTCCTCAACACATCCATAACCTAAACTTCATAATGCAAAGCTAATGAAGAGCATACTTGCATCAATCTAAAAGCTAAGCATAACAAAGTTATGCTCGACAAGTGATCACCAAACAATCCTCCATGAATCCATCTATAACAAGACGTAACTCACTTCATAACAAACACAAGAAGAACCATCAATGATCGATATATTCCAACTCAAATCCAATAAGGATTCAAACATTCTAATATCAATCACTAACTCTTCTGCTTGTAGAGTTAGCATCGTCCATGACTGAATACTTTTCAAGGAAAAGCCAAAGCTCAACCTTTACTAAATAATCTCGTCTAGAACACAACTAACTCAACTTGTCACTCAGTTTGTTTGAATGTCA